AAAAGGGAAATAACAAAATATCTAGGAATAAATTTAACCAAAGATGTGAAAAGCATGTACTCTGCAAAATATAAAACACTGATGAAAGAAATCAAGGTGATGCAAAGAATGGAAAGACATTCCATGTTCATTGGTTGGAAGAACAAATATTGTTAAAATGTCTATCCTATCAAAAGCAACTTGATAGACATTTAATCTACACATTTAATACCATCTCTATCAAAATACCAATAGCATTTTTCACAGAAGTAGAACAATCTTAAAATTTATATTGAACCACAAAAGACATTTAATAGCCAAAGCAATCCTGAAAAAAAAAACAAAACTGGAGGCATCACAATTCCAGACTTCAAGTTATATTACAAAGCAGAAGTAATTAAAACAGTATGGTACTGGCATAAAAACAGACACATAGATCAATGGAATAGAATAGAAAACCCAGAAACAAACCCACACTATATGGTCAATTAATCTTCAACAAAGGAGAAATGGATATACAATGAGAAAAAGACAGTTTCTTCAAAAATGGTGCTGGGAAAACTGGACAGCAACATGCAAATAGTGAAATTGGACCCTTTCTTTCACCATACCCAAAAACAAATTCAAAAAGGATTAAAGACCTAAATGTGAGACCTGGGACCATAAAAATCCTAGAAAAGAAGGCAGGCAGTAACCTCTTTGACATCAATGGTAGCAATATTTTTCTATATATGTCTCCTGAGGCTAGGGAAATAAAAGCAGAAATAAACTATTGGAACTTCATCAAAATAAAAAGTTTCTGCACAGTGAAGAAATAATCAACAAAACTAAATGGAAAACTACCGAATGGGAGAAGATATTTGCAAATGACATATCCAGTAAAGGGTTAGTATATCCAAAATATCTAAAGAAGTGATAAAACTCAATGCCCAAAAAACAAATAACCCAATTAAAAAATTGGCAGAAGACATGAACGGACATTTCTCCAAAAAAAGACATCCAGATGGCCAACAGACACACTGAAAGATGCTCAACATCGCTCATCATCAGGGAAATGCAAATCAAAACCACAATAAGATATCACCTCACACCTGTCAGAATAGTTTATATCAAAAATATAAGAAACAACAAGTGCTGTTGTGGAGGATGTGGAGAAAAAGGAACCCTCTCGCACTGTTGGTGGAAATGCAAACTGGTGCAGCCACTATGGAAGACAGTTCCTCAAAAAATTAAAAATAGAACTACCTTATGATCCAGTAATCACACTACTGGGTATTTACCCAAAATATACAAAAACACTAAATCGAAGGGATATATGCACCCCTATGATTATAGCCGCATTATTTATAATAGCCAAACTATGGAAGCAACCCAAGTGTCCATCAATAGATGAATGGATAAGGAAGATGTGGTATAATTCAACATGTATATATATGCATATATATATAATGCAATATTATTCAGCCATAGAAAGGAATGAAATCTTGCCATTTGCAACAATAGAAAGCTAAAGAGTAAAATGCTAAACAAAATAAGTCAGTCAGAGAAAGACAAATACTATATGATCTCACTCATATGTGGAAATTAAGAAACAAATGAGCAAAGGGGAAAGAAAGAGAGAGAAACCAAGGAACAGTCTCTTAACTCTATAGAACAAACTGACGGTCACCAGAGGAGAGGTCGGTGGGGGGGATGGGTGCAACAGGTGATGGGAATTAAGGAGGGCACATGTCGTGATGAGCACTGGGTGATGTATTGTCATATATTACCTGAAAGTAGTATAACACTGTATGTTAACTATACTGGAATTAAAACTTGTTTCAAAATTAGTTTCAGAACCAGAATGTCTGATATTACTAAGATAAATCTAGTTTCCATCTCCTAGAAATGTTGAGAGCAAATTCTAATGACAAGGGCTGAGGACTGAGGAATAAATGAATGATATCAATAACCTTCAACCATGAGGCAGGATAAGAGGCAACAGGACAGATTTAACAAGGAGGCCCCAGGACTGGCAAGTTGGCTTCAGAGGGATTTAGCCAAGTAAGATTTGCTCCGAGGGAGACCAACGGGACTTCATAGGGAAGTCTGGCGCCAGTAGTTTGAGGAAGCAAGTTTTTAAGTCAGGAAAGTAGCTCATATTAGGACAAAAACAATGAGGAATTTGTAACATGTAGAACTTTAAGAATTTGGTTAAAATATAAGAAGGTAGTAAAAAAAAGTCTGTATTGTGACCTAGGACACAAGCTCTGCCCCTTAATAAAAATATTCCCTATTCGATGTAATTGAGTCAGAGTAAGAGAGCCACAGAAGCTGGCATTCCTCATTCCAGGGCAGAGAATTCAGATGTGCTGGAGGTAAAGGTGGGGTGGAAAAGCAGAGATAAGGGAGAGGCAGGCTAATTAAAGGGAAACTATTTCTCTACTCACAGCGCTTTTGACACCAAATGTGTTTTCCACATCAAAAAATTCCCCAACTCTCTGTAAACACGGACTGGGTATTCTACAATTTAATTCATCTTGACACTACCTAGAGTTAGCACAGACTCCACATATTAAGGACTCAGTCCCACAAACCTGCCCCCTACTTCAAACAATTCCTAGTAGTGGGTCCCCAGGTTACCCACACTTTTGTCCAACTTGGCTACAAATTGTGTGTTCCCAAGACCCCCTCCTCTTTGACAATTTGCTCACAAAATGATTCAGAAACTCAGGGCAACATTTACTTAAATGGTTTGTTATAAAGGATAGACAAATAACCAGATGAAGAGGTATGTTGGGTGAGGTCCAGAAGGGTGCCAACCACAAGAGCTTCTATTCCTGTGGAGCTGGAATGCAGAAACTCTCCCAGTACATGGATGTGTTCACCAATCTGGAAGCTCTCTGAACCCTGTCATTTAGGGATTCTTACGGAGACTTCATCATGTAGGTATGATGGATTATTAACTCAATCTCCCGCTTCTCTACCCTCCTCAAAGGATTGGTGGGTGTGGGGGAGTGAGGTTGAAAATTACAAATTTCTAATCATGGTTTGGTCCTTCTGGTGACCAGCCCCCATCCAGGAGCCCACCAAGAATCATTTCATTAGAACAAAAGATACTCCTATCATCCAGGAAATTCCAAGGGATTTAGGAGTGCTGTGTCAGGAGTTGAATCAGGGCCAAAGACCAAATATTAGAACAAAAGAGGCTCCTAGCACCCCTATCACGCAGGAAATTACAAACCTGGGGGCATAGATCAAATACAGATCTCTCTTATGTCACAGTGCTATGCTTATACTGTGTTTGTTTGAATCAGAAAGCAAATGCTCATTGTTTTTAATAGGTTCATTTACACTCAGAAATGTGGGAAAAAAAAAAAAGAAAAAAGAAATGTGGTCTTCCGTGCCTAGCACACTGCCTGAAACAGTGGCCACTTACTAAATACCTGGTAATTAAATCCATTAAATCCAGGATTTTAATGTGGTTATAACTAGTAGAGGAGCCATGGTTCATTGATAGTTTTTTTTGCTGTTGTTTTTGGTTTTGGGTTTTTTAGTAGATTAAAACAACATACATTTATTTTCACACAGTTTCTGTGGGTCACAGTCCAGGCATGCTTAGCTGGGTTCTTGGCTGTGAGTGTCATAAGGTGACAGACGAGGTATGAGTGTGCTGCATTCTTCGCAGGTGCTCAGGGTCTTCTTTCAAGCTCAGGTGGCTGTAGGCAGAATTCAGTTCCTTGCAGTTGTAGGACTGAGGTCCTTGTTTTCTTGTTCTTGTCAATTGGCGTCCCCTCTCATCTAGAGGCTGCCTGCGGGCCTTCCCATAACACGGTAATTTATTTCCTCAAGGCTCTCAGGATAATTTTTCTTCAAGGCTGTTGTTTGATTACGTCATGCTTGCTTAGGATAATCACCCTTTTGATTAACTCAGAATCAACTAATTTGGGACCTTAATTGCCTCTACAAAATCCTTTCACCTTTGTCATATTCTCATCATGGCATTTTAGAATTTCAGCCTGGACCGAGGAAAAATCAATTGTCCAAAGTTCGTCTGTGATGTCAACTTGTAGAAAAGAATACAGTATTATTATCCTTTCTAATCTTTTCTCTAAATTGAGATGTCACAAACATAAAACATTTGCAAATTTTAATCATATGACCAGGTATCATAGAATCATTGAATATTAGAGAATAAGTAGAAAAATACATTAGCCCAATTCCTCCCATCTGCAAATATAATTTGTTCTCCATTGTCCACATAATTTTTTCAGAAGTATAAGCATCCAGTATTAAATGGAAATATTTACAAATGCTTGAAACTAGAGATTAATTGAGCCTTGTTGATACTATCACAGAAACTCAAAAGCAGGTCAACTAAACAATTTTATTCGTATCACAGCCTCTTTTTTCAGATCTGAAGAGAACATGATAAATGCAGCATCATTCAGGTCACAGACACTCAGTTATTTTTTTTATTTTTCTTTTTTGCAAATACTACTTGAATGACCATTTTGATCTGTGAAAATGCAAGATTAGCTCTTTTCTTGATTTTATTTATTTTTTTTTTGAAATGTTTATATACTAGGTAGAATATATTTCCTGGAAACACTTTTCAACCATTCTTAAGGTGGGGTATTTCATTTTTCTATGGGGGGAGGAGTGATTTATATTGGTTTTAATACTGTCTTTAAATTTTTATATCCTCAACCTGCAAAGAATGAACTTTCAGCAAATAAAAGTATGTTGGTGGGGGAACTCACAGTGATTGTTCTCTGCGGGAAGGATTAAATAAATGTAGAGTTCCAAGCAGGCTTAGGCAATGAACTATAAAATACTAAGAGAATGCGAGAGGGAAATTATCTTCCATGCCAGCTGATTGTGCTGCTAGTGCCATACTCTGGAAATAGCAATGACGTTACCTTTTTCTCTCTCTGCCTCTCTAGCAGCTGAGAGTTGGAGCCCTCCGTACCGAAACCTACTGACAAATCAGGGCACTGCTCACTATTAGTAACAGGATAAGGCATGTAACCTAAGAGCCTGGCCACTGCTGGTTAGTGCTTTCAACATGAGGGGTGCCTTACGACTTGCAAGACCTGCCTCACAGGTTTGTCACTGAGAATCTAACAGACAGAATATTCACAGAAGTGTTTTGTGAACAATTATTTTTTTTAAATGTTAATTATGTATAATATTGTCTTAGAAAGTGTACAAACATATATGTGTATATGTGTATATACACTTATGTGCATACACACATAATAAGAATCTAAATCAAATCCTTCTCTTCACAGCAAAATCGTTTTTAAAAACTGTTGCCTGATAATAATTTAGTGAACTTGTATAGTGTCTTTCTTTATATGTACTCTGAAAATTTTTAGAGTAAAATTAAATTAAAAATGTAACACTCCAGAAACTGAACTAAGGTCTTTAATAGGTTAATGCCTCATTTATTTCTCAAAATAACCATGAGACACAAGTATCATTATCTTAACTAACAAATGAGAAAATTAAATGCCAGAGGCTTTTGTTAAAATTTCAATAATCATAGTCTTGATTTAGACATGGGAAGAGAAACACCACATGAAGGATATACACCTTTGGATTTACGATAGTCAAAACTACAGCTGATGGTTGAGATAAGTGTTAAGAATTTAATCAATACATGGGTGTTATTATCCTCCTCAGTAGATGAGAAAATTGAAGGTTAAGAGTTTTAATAATTTGTCCAAGTTGAAGATGAAAGCCAAGATTCGAATCCAGATAGTCTTCAACTAAAACTTGTAGTATTTCCAGTCATTTATTTATTCAAAATATTTCTAGAGAACCCTCTCAGATAAAGAATTTCTGAGCAAAATTGCTATAGTCACTGGTATTGTGGAGTTTACAGCTGAGTAGGAGAAAGAGAAATTTATCTAGTAATTAGACAAGGAAATGTAACTGACATCACTCAAGTCTCTGCAAAATATCTCCCAGGAGAACGCTCCCCATCTCCACTAATGGTGTGCGCTCCTCCCCCCGACAGTCTCTAGCACACTACCCTGTTAGAATTTCTTCATAGCACTTACTTGTTTGTTGATTGTGTTTATTTACTGCATATATCCCATAGAATAGAAGCTCCTGATATCTAGTTGATTGTTGTTCCCTAGTGCCTGGAATGCTGCCTGCCTCTTTTAAAATTTAGTTATTCATTAAATGCTTGTTAAAAAAAGAGAAGAAGAAAGAAAGGATCCTGAAGTACAGTACTAGGAGAATATATTTTACCTGACAGGAGAAATCAGAAATATTTGAGAAGTTATACTTAAGTTGCAAATCTGAAGAATGAATGAGGTTTTAAAGGAGTGAGTGTGTGTGTGTGTGTGTGTGTGTGTGGTGGGGCAGGGGGTAGCAGGGAGTTTCAAGTAGAGGTGGGTAGAGTATGCAAAGGCCTGTGGTAGGACAGGACATTCCAAATATAAGACAGGAAAGAAGGCCAAGGGGGCAACTTAAGTGCAGCATGTGACAGGAGAAGTAAGTTGGGCCAAGAGCCTTGCAGAAATTTTGACTTTGAAGAGCAATGAAGAGCCATTGAAGTATTTTAACCAAAAAGGAAGTATAATGATGTGTGCATGTGATGAGAAAAAAAGAGAGACAGAGTGGATGCAGAGATCCCAGTTTGGAGTCTCTGTGATAGTCTAGAAATTAGGTTGAAGGAGTTGGATGACCTTTAATGATAAGAAAAGTTGTTGAGATCATGAGCTCCTTAGAAAACTATGCAGAGCCTGTGGTAGAGGGGAGATAAAGGGCAGAGAGGATGAGGATGGAAGGGTTGGCTACAGGTATCCAGCCTGTGCATTAGAATGGACAGTGATGTCATTTCCTAGAGGGGGCACAGCAGAGGAGCAGGGCGGGAATGGCACGTACCTCTACCTCCCCTTTACATCAGGCATCTCCTCAGTCTTGAAAGGCTTGGTAGAGGATAGACATTATTTATGTTTAACAGCCTGAGGGTTTTCAGAAACGAAGAGCAGAGCCCACAACAGAAACCAGGCATCTTGATTTTGTCCTCTCTGCACATGAACCATCATATTGCTTATTTAAAATAACTGTTGTGTTTTGAATTAGAAAAGGTTATATCCATATGACTATAAAACTTGAACTAATTTCTGAATATTTTTATGTTTTTAAGTAAATTCCTACATAGATCTCAAGGTCCAGCTTGTATTTTTAACTAAACTAATCCTAAAGATGAAAAGATATACACCCTCATGAGATTTTTTTCTTTTCATTTTACTTTTTTTTAAAGGTTTTATTTATTTATTGGAGACAGAGCATGAGCAGGGGGCAGGAGCAGAGGGAGAGGGAGAATCAGACTCCCCACTGAGTAGGGAGCCTGACATGGGGCTCAATGTGGGGCTCAATACTGGGACCCTGGGATCGTGACCTGAGCCGAAGGCAGACGCTTAAGCGACTGAGCCACCCAGGTGCCCCTTTTCTTTTCATTTTAGGATCAAGAATAATATCCCTCCCCAAATATAATTAGATATTTTCATTTCAATACACCTATCTGAACATTCCCAAGAATTTCAAAGACTGAAGAAGGAAAACTGGAAATGGGTAAATACTGGAATAAGAACATCCAGTACCTAAAATGTGAAAGTACAATTGGATCTCATTATATAATATGAAAAGGATTACAAAACCCACAGCACAAAGGAGGTCTGTGTCTTTCCTTTTGATGTGCCTGTGTAGTGAGACTGCAATTAGTGGTAATGGGAGTTCCATGTGTAGCTCAAAGGGGCTTGATGCAAGTTTGCAGCAGGGTACAAAATGATACAAGTAAAACCCAGTTCTCATTACCAATATTTAATTTTACTGTCTCCTTTAGATAGCATAACTTTTCCATTATCAGAATTCCTCCAACCCATTACATCGCCAATGCAATTATAAATGCAGTATACATTCATCGAAGCTGATAAAAAAAATCAAATGCAGCAAATTGATTTGAGGTGAAGGGGTTGGAAATCAAATGGTGGTCAAGTTGTATATGAAATGTTACCTACACTCCTATTCTTATGGTTCCAAAGAATACATGCTTACCCTTAAAGACAAATACTCTGTTCTGATACAGAAGCATCTTTTTTTTTAGGTTCTGATTTTAATATGCTAGATTTTTCTCAGGCAATAAGCAATCCCTTAAATTTTGTAAACTGGCATTCATTCATCCATTCTATAATAGTTTCTCCAGCATATTCCTAGAATTAACTTGCTTTTAACACTCTTGCTTAGCTCTGTGTAGAACTTGCATGCATACAAACGTGCATTGCACACATTTGAAGATTTGTAGCCATTTAAATTGGTATGCATATCATATGTGCATATAATAGATGTATAAATATGTTACTAAACCAGATGGTTCTCCACACTGAGCATTTATTTATATACACACGATATCAGAGTACACAAATAAAGCTTTTTAGTTATAAGCAAATTTGCTAAGCATATCACAGTATTTATGTATTTCTCTTCCTTAAAAAGTATTTGATCATTTAACATTTTATGTTAAATTTCTTTCATTGATTCCGTTTCTATTCTCTTCTGCATCTTAATTCCTATTTTTCTGTAACGGAATAAAGTAATAAATTTATTTTCATCATCTATAAAATTTTTCTGTTCACTATATAATACACAATAAGCTTTATTTCATATTAAAAATTTTCCTGAGATCATCATGGTGAAAATGGGCATTAACTTGAACACTGCATCTCCTCTATTCCCTCTAACTTCTTAAGGGACTTGCTTAAATATTCAAAGTAGTGCCACAGATTTACTCACAGCACAGTTTACACTTAAGGGCAAAAACATAGTCCCGTTATTTTGTGTACTAACACAAAAACTGAACTTAAAAGCCCTGACTCTCTGGGTGGTAGGGGGGAAATTTGCCCAACTGTTTTTGAATTTAATTTGAGCAAATATTTAATAGTCCCTTTACATAATGCTAACTCTCTTTAGATAAAAATACTCATGTTTTCAGTCGCTCAACCGACCTCCGCCCACCCCGTTAAGACAGCACTTCGTTGAAAAAGAAAATGGTGCTCAGACCTGCTGTGGTTTCCGGACTCTGCTCTGCTTCCGTGTCCCCCAGTGCTGTGTAACCCGTTGCTGAATGGTTTTGTCAGTGGTCATGAAGATAGGCTCCTATCCTCTTCTCAGTCCTTATTCCCAAATAGCAGCCAGCTAAAAATCCTTACCTTTTCGCTGAGTAGGGTTATAGAAAGCGGAGACCCTGAAAGTAGAAGCTGCATGAAAATTGAGAAGTTGGAAACTGTGAACTGTAGCTACCAAATCTGCAAACCTGCCTTCATCTGCCCCTGGCTTTTTTTTCTTACTGTTGTTTTGGGGCAGCATATATTAGAATCACCTGGAGGGCTTGCTAAACCCTCCATTTCTGGGTCCCACCATAGAATTTCTGATTCAGTTGGTCTTGAACAGGGCCTGATATAATTTGCATGGCTGAAATTCCCAAGTGATGCTAATGTTGCTGGTCTAGGGACTTCACTTTGAGAACCACAGCAATAAGGAAGTTTGGCTTTGTATCAACTTTGTATCCCATCCTTTTCCATCTTCTTAGAGCTCTTGCTTCATGAATTATTCCTTCTATTTCTTTATTCTTCCATCTCTTCCTCACTGAGGAATCCTTTTGATCACCATAGAGGTGTGGTCTACTCTACCTGTCAAAACAAAACAAAACAAAATGCACGCATAGCTATAAGTAGTTTTGATGGGTCAAAGATGCATCTCTGGCTACCATATGATCTATAAAAAGCTAAACTTCTTGGAGGAGTTTTCTACTTATGCTTTAGCTACTTCATTACTTTGTTGTTGTTGTAGCTTTCTGCAATCTTTCCCTACTTCTACTATTATAGCGTTACTGATGGTCTGGTTAGTCTAAGTAAATGTTATACTTTTTTTTTTTGGATTTTATTTCTTTATTTGAGAAAGAGAGATAGTGAGAGAGAGAGCGTGAGCAGGGGGCGGAAAGGGGGAAGCAGACTCCCTGCTGAGCAGAGAACCCAACATGGGGCTCCCTCCCAGGACCCTGAGATCATGACCTGAGCTGAAGGCAGACGCTTAAACCGACTGAGCCACCCAGGTTCCCCAAATGTTATACTTCTATGGCTCTAATTTAGTTATTTTTAGCTAGGACAAAACTTTATTTTAGAGGAAATAAAAATTTCAGGGAATTTTATAATTCCCCTTGTATCTTCTGATTCAGGTTCCAAGTTGTTCTGCTACTTACAGTTTAGGTAATTATGAGCAAGTGCTTAATCTCTCTGAGGCTCAATATTCACACATGGTAACTAGAATTAATAATGTCTATCTTATAAGACTATTTTGAGGTTAGGGCTAATGTGTATATAATGCCTAGAATAGTGCTGGGAATGTCAGTGGTAGCTAGTGATAACAACAGAAATAAAAATCTAACTTTGACATTTAGAACACAGAAAAATCAGATTGAGTTTGTGCTTTGTCACCAACTATCAGAATGCAGGAGGTTGCTAGTATTGATTTCCTAAGTAGAGTGCTTATGATAAGCAAATTCTAATGAATCAAAAGAGTGGTCCCCTATGAACTAAGCAGATCACTTGTTGAAAATGGTATCTTATCGGGCACCTGGGTGGCTCAGTCGGTTAAGCAGCTGCCTTCGGCTCAGGTCGTGATCCCAGGATCCTGGGATCCAGCCGCGCATCAGGCTCCCTGCTCAACAGGAAGCCTGCTTCTCCCTCTCCCACTCCCCCTGCTCGTGTTCCTTCTCTAGCTGTCTCTGTCAAATAAATAAAATCCTTAAAGAAAATGGTACCTTATCAAAAAAAGAAAAAAAGAAAAGGTACCTTATCATCTAACGTCCTACAGATAGTCTATAATATACATTATATTTATTATATATCAATGTTATAATAAATATTCTCTCTATATATATTCACCTATTCATCTCTTGGTGGACATTTGGGCTGTTTCCACATTTTGACTATTGTAAATAATGCTGCTATGAACATTAGTGTACAGATATCTGTTTGAATCTCTGTTTTTAATTCCTTTGGTTATATAGCCAGAGATGGAATTGCTAAACTAATAGCTATATTTTAACAATATATAATATTTGTTTTATTGAAAATGCCTACTGTTGAGATGTCTTTTTGTATACAAAATCATATTCATTTAATAAGTTTGCTTTTATTTATTGTATATATGCCAATCTACTAAGTACTTTATTATATCTTAGATCATTACTGATAGTTATCACAAATTAATATTTGATTGATATTTACAATTATTATCTCATTGAATCCATACAGTAACCCCTGAAGAAAAAGTGTATATGTATTTTTATGCTAAATTTATTAAATGGAAAAACTGGGGCTCAGACAGGTTAATAACTTCCCTAAGGTCAGACAGCTCTACAGGAGTACAAGCAGGCTTGGCAACTAGGATTATTTGCCTTAAAGATCATGCTCTGTATTACTACCCTTTCTTATATTTAGCAAACTAACCGACCTCTGACTTTATATTTAGGAGTCTTGTATTTACCTTTAAAATTTTACTTAACTACTTTGAAGTGTGAAATTTTCTAAGGGGAATTTTGTGTTGTTTTCATCATAGCAAATTCATATATCTGATAAAATATCTGTCAAGTAAATAATTTTAGTATAAGCATTTTGGTAGTCATAACAGCAGCTTTTTCCTATTTGTCCTCTAATTCCATGAGAAAACATGGAACATAGGACTAGCTTAAGATATATATATATATATATATATATATATATATGAGTTTCTTTAATGGAATTGTCTTGTTATTTGTCCCCCTTTTTTTTTTCAGCCATTATATGTGTACCTGACTGTGGTTTGGCTGTTAGAAAACTAAAATAAAGGTAGGTTAGATATAGCTGAAATTCTCCAAGAATTCATCAAAATATTGAAACTATAAGTAACATATTTCACAATAATTTAATGGTATTATCAAGTGTGTACAATACAAATGGAAATACTTCTATTCATCACTTCATTTGAAATTGGTAAACAAACGTGGCTTATATGTCAATACTTCTCACTCCTTTATGATTTGGAACAATATTTACTAAAATATTTTTTTAAAACTTTGTCTCTTCAGATGTTTGGTCAAAAAAGTTTGGAGCATCCTCCACAATCATTCCCTAGAGAATGACACCATACATCAGTCTACAGATTACTGTGAACAGTCCTGCAGTGGATAAATGTGATTAATGTATTCACTCAAAAATTTTAAAATTCTGATTTGGAAATTACACTTTATATCTGGAAAGCTCTTAACCTCTGTGGAGTCTAACCTGGCTATTGACAGTAAAACAGAACGTGAAAAAATGTATTTGGATTTCATCCTGGTATATGTAAATATTTGCTGGAATATATTGCCACCTGCACTAAACTTCAGTATGAGGAATATTAAGTCACTGGCAAGATTTCATTCAGTTGACAGTATTTCTAAATTTACTCCTTTGATTGTTATATGTCAAGCATATTAAACAAATGAAGGACCTGGTGCTGAAAAATCAGTTACAGATCATTGAGTTCAAGATTAAATATATCGGGTAATTCAGGAACAATGGAATTTGTGTACTAGGATAAAAATTTAAGGGGCGCCTGGGTGGCTCAGTTGGTTAAGCGACTGCCTTCAGCTCAGGTCATGATCCCAGGGTCCTGGGATCAAGCCCCACATCAGGCTCCCTGCTCAGCGGGGAGCCTGCCTCTCCCTCTGACCCCCCCCCATCTCATCTGCTCTCTCTCTCAAATAAATAAATAAAATCTTTAAAAAAAAAAATTTAAGAAATTTGCTCCATTATATAAATTGAAATATCTGTGTTTTTATATTCTTATCAGAAAACAGGTAAAATTTAAACCCGTAATATTTTATACTTGAGTAACTGATTTAGTGCCTGGAATTTATTTTTTAAATGAACTTGGTTTATTCGTATACTATACTAGTATATTGTGGGATAGGCTTTATAAGAAAAGAAGGGATTGTATGAAATAATGTCAAGGTCAGATGAAAAAAGGACTTGATCATAAAGTTGTTCAGGCAATGTGTTATAACTTCCTACTGAAAAGAAAAGATACACTAGGGCGCCTGGGTGGCTCAGTTGGTTAAGCGACTGCCTTTGGCTCAGGTCATGATCCTGGAGTCCCTGGATCGAGTCCCACATCGGGCTCCCTGCTCGGCGGGGAGTTTGCCTCTCCCTCTGACCCTCCCCCATCTCATCTGCTCTCTCTCTCAAATAAATAAATAAAATCTTTAAAAAAAAAAAAGATACACTAAACATTACTTAGGTTGTTTCTGTGTGCTTTTAATATAAAAAACGTGTCCAGAAGCTCATTTTCACTTTAAAAAGTGAGAAATGGTTGCATTAGATATGATAAACTTTTACGATCTGATATAATTTTTTAGGCATCCGGAATCCACTGCACTGCCTTCTCTTTTACCTTAATACCCAAATACTAAACTTCACTGGGAAGTTGCCTTGTATCTCTCAGTTCCATTAAGAACAAATAAAGGTCATATTTAGGTAACAATATTTTGAAAATCGACTTAATGTCTATGCCAGTGATGGAGTGCTACCTATTCTTGAATTCTATTCCACAACTAATGATGAGATGAAAATCAAAACTTGTTTTTATGTGGATATTAGATGTCTTTTAGACAGTAATTACTTCCAGGTGCTATCACTGAGGCTTTAGTGAGCTAAAGATTCTCTCGAACGATACCCTCACACAACTTACACGCTCTCCTCTACACTTTAAATGGCCTGAATTATTCCAGGAAGATTGTTGGGACCTTTGTGGGACATCTAATTACAACTTAAATGGAATCTGAACAAATCGATAAGAAATGGGGAGGCAGATAGAGAAGAAAGAATAATCTTTATTACTATATTTATTACTTTACTACAAGTTGGAGAATATATTCAACATAAGGGCTGAATGAGCTCCCTAACTAAACCCCAAATTTGAACAGACCTAAGCACCTGGTTCTGGATAAGACTTATGGGTTAGAAGTACTGAGGAAAATCTGTACAGACATCTATCTACAGCTGTACAGGCAGCTATCTACAGACACCTGTCTCCCAAAGGAAAAAAGGGCTAAGCTAATTTAAACAGTTCATTTAAGCTGCTCAATTTGGTTTTCTCAAATTGACCAATCAGGTGACTCTCATTCTTTCCTTTGGGACAGAATGAATTCAGTTTTCTCAATGTGGAAAGAGACAGGAAGAGCATGGATGAAGTATTCTCCCCTAACAAAGTTATTTGAATGATATTCCTGGAGGCAACTCTGATGTCATTGGACATACATCAACTCTTGAATCAAGAGACCCTGGCGAGCTTTTGGTTCTAACCATTGAGAGGCTGTTTTATCTTCAAGAAACAAATTGAGGGTTGCAGAAGGGAGGGGGCTGGGGGCTGGGGTAACGGGGTGATGGGCATTAAGGAGGGCACAGGTTGTTATACACAACTAATGAATCATTGAGCACTACATCAAAAACTAATGATGTACTATATGTTGGCTAATTGAACTTAATAATAAAAAAAAGAAACTATCCAACCTCCAGTTTTCTCATTTATAAATTAATAATTACATACCTAACATTTAAGGTTATTTTAAAGGTTAAAACAAATAATGCATGTGAAAGTATTAAACTGGGAAAATATAAAATATTATTTTATTAAATGGTTAGGTTAATCAAGAGTTCTTAAGCAGTGTGCTAAGCAATGGAGATGTAAAGATGAAGAAGATACCGTCTCTGCCATTGAGTCTCAGGTAAGAAACAAAAACATAACCAGATCATTTCAGGGAAAAAGTTGGGAATGAGAAATAGCCTGAGTATTTATGGATGAATTGAAGACTCATTCATTAAAAGCTCATGGGAATATTTAAGTTACAAGTTTTAATATAGATCACATGAACCCATGGAATAAAGAGCAGTTAAGTCTATGCCCTTGGTTTTCTTTCTATACTTACTTTGTTCCTCTGACATTTATAGGAACATAAATTCCATGAAGTCAAACACTACTATCTAGGTCATGTCATATGGTGGTAACACTGGATTTATCAACATCAGGCTGTATCTTGTGAAAAACTAGGGAGCATGTCACAAGATCAGCAAGCTTATAGAATAGGATTGTCATTTAGATAAAAGCCAAAGCCAAGAGATTGTTCTCAGTACAATCGGAGCTTCAAAAATGAAGAAGGAAAAATCTGTGCAGTAGTACAGCGTGAAAGCCAAATAGGGATTAAAAATCACACACACACACACAAATACAGGAACTATAGATTTACACAGAAGAAGGTTCATTTCTTGAACTGAGATCGTCTAATCCTAAACAGAGAGCTGTCTTATGCAGGCAGCTGAAAGTAGTCTACAGCCTACCTTTTTCAAAATTCTCTTATTTTTAAAAAGTGTGATAAAATATACCTAACATGAAGTTTAGCACTTCAACCATTTTAAGGAGTACAATTTCGTGACATTAAGTACATTCGTGACATTTTTAGAACTTCATTATCCCAAACAGGAAGTCTGTACCCATTAAATGGTAAGTCCCTGTTCTTCCCTTCCTTCAGCCCCTGGTTACTGCTATTCTACTTCATCTCTATGAATTTATCTCTTCTAAATACCTAGCATAGTGAAATCATAATTTTTGTGCTTGGCTTATTTCACTTGTAGTAGTTTTGATGTTTATCCACCTTGTAGCAGGGATCAGAATTTCATTGCTTTTTAAGCTTGAATAATATTCCATTGTATGTGTATACCACTTTAAAAAAAAAATTCATCTGTTGACAGACATTTTGGTTGTTTCCACCTTTTGGTTATTGTGAATAATGCTGCTATGAACACTGGAATATAAATATCTGTTGAGTCCTTGATTTCATTCTTTTGGGTGTTCACTCAGTAGAGGACAGCAACTCTGTTTAATTTGGGGGTAAATCACCATACCGTTTTCCACCATAGCTGCATCACTCTACATTCCCATCAGGAATGCCTGAGTGCTCCAATTTCCCCACATCCTCACTCACACTTGTTATTTTCTCTTTCTGTTTGTCTGTTCCTTTATTAGGTATAGCCATCTAATGGATGGGAGGTGGTAGCTCATTATGGTTTCGATCTGCATTTCCCTAATGACTGACACTGCTGCAGAGCATCTTTTCACATGCTTATTGGCCATTTGTATATGTGCCTTGGAGAAATGTCTATTCAAACTCCTTGCCTATTTTTGAATTGGGTTGTCTGGCTTTTTTGTTGTTGAGTTATAGGAGTTCTTTCTATATTCTGAATATCCATCCCTTATCAGTTATATGACTTGCAAATGTTTTCCCTCATTTCATGGATTGTCTTCTCACTCTCTTCATAGTGGCCTTTGGTGTACAAATGTTTTAATTTTGTTGAAGTCCACTTGATCTATTCGTTCTGTTCTTGCCTGCGCTTTCGGTGTCATATCCAAGAAATCATTTTCAGCCTACTTTTTAAAGCAAGAAAACAATAAACAGAAACTAGAACAATGCCCAATTAGCTTTTGCAATATTATTTATTATTTTTATCTTTCACTTTACTAAGTAAAATAAGAAAAAAATGAGAGGGAGGAAAATCACTGAGACTTCGCTCAATATATTTTTGTTACTGCATATACAATTGTTGTTAAACCTATAAAAATCACTAATAAAGAATTTGCCTAAAATTGTCATTGTACTATCCCAAATAAAAAAGACAAACTCTTTCTTCCCATTGCAAACTTGAAAAATAATATTTTTATGATATTCATGAAATGCTGTAGTGCCTGGTTTGTTTGTGGCAATACATGAAAAAAGACTGATTTTATCACCAATGGGGAAAATTGGCAAATATCTTGTCTTTCTTTTCAAGTCTCGGCGTAATTTACAGGTTAATTGTGCATCACAAACACAAAGTATTTGGATGGGAGAGTTGCTTTCTTTATATTGCTATTGATCTAAATCCACATGAAGAAAAAAGGCATTAATTTGAGGGTAAAGAGGTGTCAGAAATGATTTACAGATTTCATGGGGTGTCAGGAAATGGACATCACTATCTAGTAGCTTTTATGAATACTAAGGATAAAATTCTGAGAGAACTAGGCTACAAAATAATCATTTCACAGAAGCGAATATTGACATAAAACCAGTATGTCTTGTTCTTAAATGAATAGTAGAGATGAATCATGGAGATTATTCAGTATCACTGAATAATCGATGGTCTAGCCAAAGCTGTCTTCCAAGGGTGTTAAAGCCTCCTTTTCTGCTCTAAAAAGAGCTCTAAATTCCTGGAGGAAGAATCTGAAATAAGCTGGACTCACCCTCATAAACAATGCAAAAGTTACCCATCTGTTACAGCTGAATGACCTTCATATTTACATACCCGAAAGTACCTGCTTAGAAAGCCATCTGGAAAGTGTTACACTGTTCTTGTTTGCCAGAATTTGTATTAAGAGGGTTAGAAGCCACCAATAAAAAAAGTAAATTAGTTCAAATAGGAAATGCGGGGGAAAATATGGATTCATATTTTTTTAAGATTTTTTATTTATTTGACAGAGTGAGAGAGGGAACAC